TTCATTAGCATTATGCAAACACTGTAAGTGGTAAAAAAAACATTTTTCTCTGATATATTATGGAAGCAAGATGATAGAAAAAGAACTGAAGCTTTCAGTCAAACTAAGCACCCCCAGTCTTTGATGGTTGAGGGTGTATAGACTTTCCTGGCTAGTATTTCCGAGATCATGTCATCATTCAAAGAAAATAACAAGAGAAAAGTCACTTCTGCAAGTTATTACTGTTGTACTGATGATCTACTGTCAAATTGTATAAAAACAGAAAGGTGAATGTGTATATATTCTAGTACATTTCATTTGATCAATAAAATCTGAAGAAGGCAACACATTGATTGCTGAAAATACATAAGGAGAAAGGGAATATGCTACTAATAATGAGATTTATTTAAACAATAATGGGAGCATTGTATCGATGGAAAAGATTTTGATACTGTTCACATATAAATTTTAACCAAAACTTAAAGGTGATTAATTTGAAATGCCTATTAAAGATTTTCTGCAAGTAATTTTACTGTTTTGCCATTATTTAAACTATCAAGAAGGGTCTTAGCAATTTCTCTTGAGCTGTAATGATAAACAGCATCAGAATCTTTCGGTGGTCTTGTCACTAAAATATGTGCGACAGTTGTAGATTCATTACCTCTACGTTGATGTTTATATCTCTGTCCACCTATTTGCACTTGAAAATCAACATAGTCACTATTTCCAGTAAAATTCTGATCATCTAAGCGTACATTATCTGTTTGCTTTATTGTATCCGCCTTAAATGGCTGAGACATAATTACCACTAGTTTATCATTTTCATTCCTTAATTTTTTCATAGCTTCAGGTATTAATTTATATTTTATTTCTTTTTCTATATCTCTATTGCTTATAACATCTGAAAGTTGTTTTTTTTCTTTAATATTTACCAATGGTACCGATCCATTCTGTGATCCATCCTGTATTACAGTTATAGGATTGAAGACGTAAAGGTTTTTCTTTGGTTTCCTTTTCTACCTAATGACTCATGATAAGCTATTAGCAAGCAATCTTTCCGTCCATTGATCTGTATATATGTTTCTGTTTCTCTACCAGTAAAATAATGTCCAATATCTCCATTTTCATCCACTTCATAATAGATTTTAGCAGATTGTTTAAAAAGAGCAGGTATTTTTCTTACTCCTGAAGGATTTATTATTTCTTTTTCGTCAGTATCTGAATTGTAAACAGTTATTTTTCTTCTTTTACGATCTGCTAACATTGTTATATCAGCTAAACCTAAAGCTCTATCTTTATCTTTTGCTTCTCTCAAATAACTTGCAGTAATTTGTTTTGGATTTCTAATATTATTTTGTAGATCTTCTCTTTTCGCTCGATCTTGTTATTCTTTCTTTGAATCTTGATTTATTGGAGATTGTTCAACAGCAATTTGACTTTCTGCATGATTTTGTCTATTTTGATTCGATTGTTTCAATATATTAGCTGAAGTTTTTTCCATTACATTGTGACTACTTTATCTAATTATTTTGTTAATTCAGTTGATATATATATTCTCTAATGATTCTATTCAATTGTTCTGCTCTTGTTTCGACAAGGTTCTGATTAATGTTTTTTCTATAAATATTCTGATTTTCTATGGTAGTACCTTCAATAATATCTTTTAAAGTATTATAAAGACATGTTCAAACTGTAAGACAGATTGAACTACAGTCCACAACTTATTAATGATATTTATTGCTTTAAGAGTAGTAGCAGCCATTTTAACGTATTTTGAATTTGATTTCTTTAGACCATCAGCAAATAGATGATAACTATTGTTTAAAGAAGATACAACTCGTGTTCGAATAGTATCAAATTGTTGAGGTAATAAAATATCTTTTCCTAATGTTTTTTCTAATATGTTTTTTCAATTCTTCAAAAGATTTTTCGAACTCTTCTTCATTTTTACTTTGAAGATAAAGAGTTTCTACTTTATTATTTATTAAATCGATTATTCCTTTTAATAAATTTTCTTCTATTTTACTAACAATCTTTTGTATAAACATTTTCTTGAATCTGTTCCATAATTTTATCCGTCAAAAACTTTCCAATTCCAGCAGTCAACATAGAGAGACCGAAGCTAATTGCTTTTTGTATTGCCCATTCTTTCCAACTAAAAGTACCTGATAATTCTGCCATATTAGAAACACCTTCACTAATTAAAGCATTGCCTATTTGAGTCAAACCAAAGGCTACTAAAACAGCTCCGGCAAAACCATTTCAATCCCACCAAGATTTATCTTCTTCAATAATCAAAAATTTACTAAGATTAAAACCTTCAAAAAAATCTTAATTCACTTGGAACATTTTCTTGATCTTGAAGATCTATAAAATCTTTTAAATTAGCTTTTAAACCTTTTTTAAATGAACGAATATCTCCTTGTAAAGACAAAATTTTCGACAAAATTAATTCTTTATCATTTTCAAATTGAGTATTTTTTAAAATTTTATTTAAAATTCTTTCAATATTTCTTTTAATATCTCCATATTTATATTTAGCAAGTCCACCAGACTTTAAAATATTTTTTTCTTTTTGATAAATTCGAATATTATTTCCTTCTTCTTCTTTAGTAGTAAATGGTAAATCTGTGTTGATAAAAATATTGATTTTGTTGACTAATATTATCTTTTAATTCTATTAAATATGTTTTATGATCTTTTGTTTCATGACCATTACCATTAAATTTAATTTTCGTATATTTTTCTTTCTATTGATTGTTCACATAGAGAAATATTAACTTGTTGTGGATCTATTTTATCTTCTAAATCTTTCCAAACATTTTCATATATCCGTGGTAATTCTTTTTCTATTCTATTTATATTTAAAATTTGCCATAATTCTTCACTATAACAAACAATATCTTCGAAATCTTTTTTGTTCAAAGTAAGATTTACTATTTAATAAACTAATTAATGGATCGGCAATCGAAGGATCAAGATCATTTCGAATTATCTTTTCTATTTTATCTCGTTCTTGTGAATTATTTCGAAATATTTTTCTTATTGTATCTCCTTGAAGAATTTCAAATTGAACTAAAAGTGAATATAATTCTTTTCCTTTATCTTGATCTTCACGAGTTAAATATTGTTCATCTTTTGGATGTAAAATAAAATGAAATGGTTCTACTGTATCTCCAACAGCTTCTAATTTTCCTGTTATTTGATCTTGATAAAAATTTTCTTTTGAAGAAATTTTTTTGAAGGGTGTGGGTGT